AGCAGATGAAGAAGGGACTTCCCATCCCTCAACATCCATACTAATAAGAAGGAGTTCATAGCTCTTAGGAAAAGGTTAGGAAGGAAAGTTAGATAGGGGGTTTGGGGTCCACCTGTAAACCTTTGAGGTCATCCTATTCTAGAAAGAGTTCGCCCCAGTCCTCCCATAATTAAGAAAGCCAAAAGGCATTTTTGGGGTAGAAAGTAACTCATACAAAGAAACAAGGAGAAAATTGAGTACTAGTTTAAGCCAGACACTCACACCTGCGTAATGAAAAGCGTAACAACCTTCAATTCACCTGAGCCTCCTCATTATACCATCTTAATATAATGTATATGCCCGGAAGTTCATTGATATCATTATAATAGACTGAATTATAGGAATGAAATGTGCTTAGAAAGCAAATGATGAGTCACTGCGTCCTGTCAATCTTAGCTGCCCATCAAGAAAGCTCACTCCTATAAGAAAAGTATCCACCCACAGCAAATAGGGATAAAAACCCCAAAGGCTTTGTTACTGGGCCTTTTGAGCCACCCTTCTCTTACTCAGGCCCACTTTCACATCTAGAAGTGTACTGCTGCTTTACTTTCTTGCAATAAAGCTATTCTTTTCTGTTGTACTTTGGTGTCTTGCTCAATTGTTTGTATGAGACATCAAGAACCCAGACAACGCATCGAGAGGGGAACCCCACTCTCCAGTAACACCTCCTATACTCTTGTTTCAGGGCCTTTTGCTAGCCTAAAACACCTGTCCCCCATTCACTCTCTCATTTCACTCAAATCTCTACTCAAATGTCCCTTTATCAGAGAGGCTAAGTTTGACTGCCCCATCTAAAACACATCCTCCATCATTCTCTCTCCTCTTAATGAGCTTTATTTTTCTTCATAACTCTTACCACTACTTGATACATATTTACTTGTTTATTTTCTTTCTCCATCCACTACACTATAAACTCCAAAGGCACAAGGATTTTATTTGGTCACTATTGTATTTCTAGCACCTAGAACACTACCTGGCACACTGAAGGTGGCCAATAAACATCTGTTACATGAATGGATGTTCACAAGGTGGCCAATAAACACCTGTTACATGAATGGATGTTCACCTGTCCCAATGGATGTTCACAGCCTCACATCATATTTTCTTCATGGCCTTGGTATCATTTTTCCACCCTCCAGCCTTGTAGCAGCCATTGCCTCAAAGCCATCCAGAGCATCCCTAGTTTAGGCTTCACTGGTTAAGTGGAAAAACACCTGGTTTAAAAATCAGAAGCCTGGAACCAACACTGATAGTACTACCTTAAGAATTTCAGAGTACTCTCTGACTCAGTTTCTAAACATGCTAAAGGAACCCTGTATCTGTCCCTCACAGTGCTAGATAAAGAAAAAGGATAAAGAATTTACCTCCAACACTGCTTTAAGATCAAAAGATACCATGTACTGCATAACAAACATCATATTACACATATTTTGTTAAAAATTACAAGGCATTTTGCAGTCTGAAAACTAAAGAATTTTCCCTTTACAAATTTTCAGAGGATTTGGGGAAATGGACAAAAACAACGAAACTGATTGTCAATCAATATAGCCAAAAATTAAGTAACCAGTTACTTGACCGAACAGCTACACATTCTGGAGCACTAGAAGAATATGTAGAATATGTTAAATTTCTGAATGAGGGAGAGAAAAGACTGTTTCCAAAATATACCTAACTTTATTTCAAAGTCAAAAGTATTCAACAAGAATTCATGCCAGTGATAAACGTCCCATCAGCGCCCATGCAAGTTACAACTTTTGAGAGCATTTTATAACTGTACTTTAACCTTCTGTGTGCAGTAAGTGACTCTTGGTAAAGCTTTAGCAGTTGATAATTTTTGTAGAAAAAAAAATCTTTAGCCAGAGAACCACAATATTTCCCTCCTACTCTTACTGAGGACCCATTACTCTACGGTCTCCAGGGCTCCCAGAACCCCATGGACCAGGTGAAAGGAAAGTCATCCAGGGAACACACGTGTCCTGGCCCGCCACAGAAGTGGTAATGGCAGGTGGAACCTACCCATCAGCGAGGTCCAGGACACAGGGCAAAGGTGTCCGCAGGAAACTAGCCTAGTTCCCGGCAGCTTCTGGTCCTGGGGCCAACGACCTCCTCCCGGGACGGACCAGGCCAGACCCCTACTCTGATTTCGTTCCAGGCCTGCCCCGGGAGCTCACATCCCCGCAAACGCAGGTCCTACCTGAGCTCTTCCCCCAGCTACAGGGCTGCGGGGTGAGGCGGGAGGAGGCGTGGCCTTCCAGCTCTTCAGTCGAACTCCCTCGTGCGGTTGTTAATGACTTTCTCTCTCGGGATCCGCGCCCCGAACAAGTTCGAGTGCACTTCCGGGGTCTGCCAGAGACTGAAACGTCATTGCGCGCGCGACGGCAACAAATCCGGAAATACGCGAGGCGTGGTCGCTGGCGTGGTTCCTGGCGCTAGGTGGGCTGGGAGAGAGCCCTGCAGGAGGTTAAGAGTTGTGTTCTTTCCCTGCGGACTCTGCTCTTCCTTCCTTAACCCTTTCTTCTGAAGCGAGGGACACCCCTTCCTGGGGCCACCCTGAAGCCTCGTCCTCCAGGGTGTGTCCATGCGCCTGATTACGGGAGTGTCCATGCGCCTGATTGCCCACTCTCCCACCGTGGTTTACCCTGCATTACCCAGTTCGTTCAACTCCAGGAAAGCGAAGAGGTGGGAAAGTCGAGTTAGAAGATGAAAGTTACCTCTAAATTATGATTTAGGTAAAGTAGGAAGTTAAGGATAGGCTCCCTGATCCTACTCGCTTTTCCTATCTGCCGAATACAGGCACACCTGGGACGACATATTGCGGGTTGGGTTCCAGACTATCGCAATAAAGTGAGTCCTAATCTTTTTGTTGGCTAAGGATTTTGCCTTCAATTTCTAAAAAAAATGCAACACGTGTGAAGCGCGATAAAGCCAAGCGCAGTAAAATGGGAGGTATGCATGTACTAATAGGATAGATTGGAGACAGCTGTGGAAACCTAGAGTCACACCGCTATCGGGTTTGCTTCTAAACTCAACCTTTATGGCAAAAACCCTGATAATAAAAATGACCCACGAAAATACCCTAAATGGCTCACGAAGTACAAAATATTTAATGTTAAGCTTTAAACTCTAGATCTTTATTTCTTATACAAGCTCGAATTTGAGATCTCTTAGCTATTTTAAATGTTAAAATGAAAGGAGAGTTTGTGTATAGCTATCTGGGCTTTTAAACAATCCCAGTAAATCCAAGGGCAATTTAGTCTTCGTCTTACTTGACCGTTCAGCAGCATGTGCGCTATTAAGCACATCTTCTTTCTTGAAATTTGAAACATCCTCATTTGCTTTTTGTGAAATCGCAGTGCTCTTTTGATTCTCTTTTGCTGGATTCTTCCTTATTTCTAAATGTTAGTGTGCCCCAGATCTCTTCCCCTCTTTTTTCAACCTCATCCTCCAGGTGATCTCATCGATTCCCTTCACTGTCTTTAATATGGCATCACTATGCTGATGGCTTCCAATAACCATATCCAGTCCTGACTTCTTTGATTTTAATACTCACATATCTAACTTCTTATTCAAAATATCTACTAGGATATCTAAATACCTTTAAAGCTATTATTTTCTACCTCCAAACCTATTTTGTTGTACATCTTTCCCTCTCAGTAAATGGCGCAGTGATTCTTACGATTTTTCCGATCATCCTTTGATTCCTCTACCTCTCACATTCCACATTCAATCTCAGCAAAACCTGTTGGCTGTCTTTTCAAAAGGTATCCAAATTCTCACCACCTGTACAGTTATAACTCTAGTCCTCACTGGATGCTGTAGTTGTCTTTTAATTATTCTACATGCTCGTGTTCGTGTCTACCTCCAGTCTCGTATCCAACTGACAGCTGTAGAAATCCTTTTAAAATGAAAATCAGAATTTGTTACTTTCCTATTCAAAACCTTTAAGAGCTTCCATACTCAAATAGAATAAAATCTAAAATTGTTTCCATAAGTCCACAACATTCTACATGATGTGGCCCCTCCCGCCCCCACCATGCCTCTACTGAGAAAGAGAGTAGTAAGAGATTTTGGGTGGGGGATGGGTAGCAGGGAAAACTAATCCAATAACCTTGGAGTTTGGGAAAGGTGATTGCCAGCTATCTTACCTGGAAATACTAAAAGGTAGAACTGACTAGGGGTCCCTGTGATGATGGAGTAAAGAGAAAAACTGTCAAGTTTTGTGAACAGCTAGTAGACATGTTGGCACATGGCTGGGTGTATGAGTTCTCTAGGGCTGCCATGGGAAGTATAGTGAGTCCTCACCATCATCAATAGAATCTTGGAAACTGTAACTTTAAGCAAAATGATGTGAAATGAAACCAGTTTTACCATAGGCTAATTGATATAAATAAGAGTTAAGTTCCTGTAGCATATTTCTTGTCACAAAATGTCACCAAATATCTAAATAAAGACTCAAAACACTTCTAATATGAAATTTTGAAATAATGTGAGCTGTACATACATTTAAGAAAGGTTAATAGAAATAAGTAAAATAATTATTTTCCAACCTGCTCAATGCGACCCTATTCTAGCAGCTCAGGAAACGAGGTGGGAACCAACCCTGGACAGGACAGCATTCCATTGCAGGGCTCACACATACACCTACACCCACCATACAACCACCATAGGTTAAATGGAGACACCATTTAACCTAATGTGCACATCTTTGGGACATGGGAAGACATTGAGTACCCAGAGAAAACCCATGAAAGCATGGGGAGAATGTGCGAACTTCATATAGACAATGGCTCCTGCCAGGAATCTTTTCTTGTTTCTCATCAACTTTATAACGAAATGATGTTGAACAAAACAATGTTATTCAAAGATCTGCTATACCTCAAACTAGGTGATTACAACAGAGATTTATTGTCTTGCAGTTCTGGAGGTTAGAAGTCTAAGACCAAGATGCAAGCAGGGTTAGATCCTTTTGAGGGCTGTGAGGGAGAATTTGTTCCAACGCTCTCTCCTACTTTCTGGTGGTTTGATGGCAATCTTTCATGCCCCCTTGTTTTGTGGATGCCTGACCCCAATCTCTGCCTTTATCTTCAAATGCCATTTTCCCTGTGTGCTGGGTTTGTGTCCAAATTTCCCCTTTTTATAGGGATACCAGTCGTATTGATTTTGGGCTCACCCCAATGACTTAATTTTAACTTGATTACCTCCCTGATGTTTTAATTTCCAAATAAGGTCATATTCTGAGGTACTGGGGTTAGTACTACAATGTATCTTCTGGAAACACAATTCAACCCATAACACTAGGGGAGAATTGTTTTTGAATAAAGGAGAGAAGGAACTACAGTAGAAAGAAAGAAGCATACCAACCAGGAGAATGAGATTGTGTGAGCAAGCCAGAAGAGATATCACATGGGAATTTTGAGATGCTGGCTGGAGCATTCATCCTATTGTCAGGGAATGGCAGTGTTGAAGTTCTTGGATTTGAGTGAATCTCCAAAAATGTACAAAAGTACTTTATGACAGAAAGCACCAGCATTTGGAAATTTGGTACAGAAGGGACAATGACTTCAGTTTACAATAATAGTGATTTCTTCCCACCATGAGCTGACTATGAAGGACCTCAAATTAAAGTGAATATGGGATATAGAGAAGAAAAAGTGGACCTCAAATTAAAATGAATGTGGGACATAGAGAAGAAAAAGTGACCCAGCTGTATTTGTGGGTCACCCCTATGCTAGGAAAGAAGATAACTTTACAGTGATTTAGAGGATTCCGACCCAACATGTGAAAAGTTTGAAACTTGGAAATTGGTCACTCTCATCCTTGCAACAAGAAAAAAGCTAAACAAACTGAAAACATCTCTTCCTAGATCTCTCAGAGAATTGAGGCCACAGGGAAAACTGCTTTCCCTCCAAACTGTAGAGACAGGTGGATAAAGAGGTGCACAATTTAATGGGAGTACAAGCCAGCAGTGGGAGCTAGTATGGGTAGGAACACTTTAAAATTGTAATTAATGAATTACTGGGGGCCCAGTGTGGAATACTTTGAGTGTTAAACACTCACGGACTAGCTTGAAAGTTAAAAACTCCAAATGGTCCTAATTGTGGGGGTGGAGGGCAGGCTACTGTGAGTTTTGCCTCCAGGAGTCCTACCAGGTTGTTACCATGAAGATGGGAGAAAACTGGTCTTTGACAGTGGAGAAGAAAAGTGACCTTCAGGAAATATGTCCAGAGCTCTCTGTTTTCCTTAATAAATCTTGCCTTTAAGGGAAACTATTTTTCCAGAGCTAACCAACTAGGGATTAACCAACCTAGAGGAATGGAAATATTCAACTCTAGCCTTCAAAGTAGAGAAAAAATGGGTAACATGCAGGAACAGAAGGGTACTGTGAACAGAGAGATGAAAATGCTAAGAAAGAATAAAAAAAAAATTAGAAATCAAAAACACTAACAAATGAAAAGCATAAAAAGACTGAACACAACCAAGGAAAGAATCTAGGTTGAGGTTTCAATAGAAATCTCCAAACCTGGAATGCTGAGAGAAAAGAATGAAAAAGACAGAATAGACTATCCAAGAACTGTGGGGAAAATACACAAGGTGTAACATATGTATAATAGGAATACCAGAAGGAGGAAAAAAAAAAAAAAGAGAAAGGAACCAAGGAACTATTTGAAGTAATAATAACTAAGTATTTTCAAAATTAAGGACCCACAAACCCACAGATCCAGAAGCTCAGAGAATTTCAAACAGGATGAACACTAAAAAACTGGGTATATATATTCAAACAGCAGAAAATAAAAGACAAAATCTTGAAAGAAGCCAGAGGTGAAAAACAAACAAACAAAATATATTTGCAAGCAATGCTTCCAATAAGAGCCTAATATCCAAAATATACAAAGAACTCATGCGACTCAATAACAACAAAAAAACAAACGATCCAATCAAAAAATGGGCAGAGGACCTGAACAGACACTTATCCCTAGAGGATATACAAATGGCCAAAAAATATATGAAAAGATGCTCAACATTGTTAGCTATTAGGGAAATGCAAATCAAAACCACAATGAGATACCATCTTACACCTGATAGAATAGCTATAATCGAAAGAACAAGTAATAACAAATGTTGTAGAGGGTGCGGAGAAAAAGGAACCCTCATACATTGCTGATGGGACTGCAAATTGGTACAGCCACTGTGAAAAACCGTATGGAGGTTCCTCAAAAACCTAAGAATTGATCTACCATATGATCCAGCAATCCCTCTACTGGGAATTTACCCCCAAAGACTTGACAACCCATATCCACAAAGATATTGCCACACTGATGTTCATAGCAGCATTATTCACAGTGGCCAGGACATGGAAGCAACCCA